GAGGGCACCTGGCTCAGATGCTCCCTCCCCTTCCTGTCTATATCTCAGAATGCCCCCTGGGCCTTGCTTTTTTAGGCTCTCCTCTCCTTCCAGCATGGGGAGGGGACATGGGGCGATGGGGTAGGCAGACCGAGGTTGAGACCAGGCTTGAGGCTCAGGAAGGATCTTCCTTGTCCATCCCAGCTTCTCACTCACTTTCTTTTTTTATTTATTGATTTGCGGGTGGGGGAGAATATCAGCAGTTTGTCATTCTACTTATTAATGCATTCAGTTCTTGTACATGCCCTGACCAGGGATCGAACCCAAAACGGTGTATTGGGATGGTGCTCCCACCAGCTGAGCTACCGGCCAGGGCCCTCACTCACTTTCTGAGATGCCCTCTTGAAGACCCACTGGTCTCATGCATGTTTCTCAGAGGGACCTCCGCCTCTGACACCTAGCCAGTGACCCCTGGGGGCTGAGGGCAAAGAAAGGAGTGGTGCCCCAGGGAAGAGGTAGTATAATGGGGGCCCTGGCTGTCTGCTTGCATGTGGCCAGCCCTGCTCTCTACCCCGCAGGCCATCAGTGACGGCGTGCCCCTGGTGCTGGCCCTGGTTCCCCACCGACAGCTCCACTCCTTCATGACCCCAGACCTGCTGGTAAGTGCGCTGGGCAGGACCCCATCCAGCTCCATCCCCTCTCCAACTCTACCCCAAACCTGCCTCTGCCCCTCTTGTTTGCAGGTGACCGTGAGTGCCAATGGGCTGCTGGGCACTCACAGCTGGTTGCCCTATGACCGTAACATAAGCAACTACTTCAGCTTTATCAAAGACTCCAACAAGTAAGATAGAGGCTCTTTGGGCAGGGTCATCCAATCAGAATGCAGGCCCGCGGCTGGGTCTAGCCAAGGTCTCTGAGGGCCTCGGTATCCTGTGTGGCCTGGCCTCACCTGTCATCCCCTTCACTGGGTCAGGATGCAGCGACTGCTGAGTGGCCCGTGGATGTCCGACAGTGGCGTGAGTGGGCAAGCCCTGGCAGTGACCCCCGATGGAAAGCTGCTGTTCAGCGGTGGCCACTGGGATGGCAGCCTTCGGGTGACCGCACTACCCCGGGGCAAGCTGTTGAACCAGATCAGCCGCCACCTTGGTACGAGCAGCCTGGGAGCTAGGGGAGGTGCAGGTCGGGCTCGGGTTCTGAGGCTGGCCAGGAAAGGTGCGACTGCTCTGTTCTCCTTGGACCTTCCCTTCCCCACACAGACATAGTGACCTGTCTTGCACTGGACACCTGTGGCATCTACCTCATCTCAGGCTCCCGGGACACCACGTGCATGGTGTGGCAGCTCCTGCAGGAGGTATGCTGGGTGGGCAGCTTCGTGGGGCTCCCGTAGTCCAGACCCACAGCCCACCTGCCCCTCAATAGGCTTCCAGTCCTGCCCTCCTCTCTTCCCCTTCCATCCACTACTGCGAGCAAGTCCGGGGCCCCACCACCCTCCAGCTCTCTGGCTTCACACAGTGCCCTCACTCTCCTGAGCCTTAGCCTTCTCATTTAAGGGCCAGGATAATGGGATGCCCCCAGTCCTGAGCCAGCCTTGGCTTCCCACAGGATGGTCTCTCTGTGGGGCTGGCATCGAAGCCTATGCAGGTCCTATATGGGCACGAGGCTGCAGTGAGCTGTGTGGCCATCAGCACTGAACTGGACATGGCTGTGTCTGGATCCGAGGTGGGTATATGCCTGTGTTAGGGGAGGCCGTTTGCTGGGCACTGTCCCTGGAACCCAGAGACCCCTGCCCAGCATCCTAAGCTGCCTTCCTACAGGATGGAACTGTGATCATCCACACTGTACGCCGTGGCCAGTTTGTGGCTGCACTTCGGCCCCCGGGGGCCATGTTGCCTGGACCCGTGTCCCACCTGGCACTGGGATCTGAGGGCCAGATCGTGGTCCAGAGCTCAGCGCGGGAACGTCTCGGGGCTCAGGTATGGGAAAGGGGCACCCAGTCAGGACAGGGGTGCTTGGGATTCTGTCCTTGCTGACACCTCCTGCTTCTTCCAGGTCACCTACTCCTTGCACCTGTACTCAGTGAATGGGAAGTTGCGGGCTTCACTGTCCCTGGTAGAGCAGCCCACAGCCCTGGCAGTGACAGAGGACTTTGTTCTGCTGGGCACAGCCCAGTGTGCCCTGCACATCCTCCGCCTGAACAAGTGAGCCCCACTATTTATGGGTTCGTGGTTCCTCAGGGTGGTGGTCATTGGCAGAGGGTACTAGGAGGTGGACCCCCCACCCTCTTTGCACACCTGTGGGTACTTCCTGCAAGTCCTGTCAATGGGGAGATCTTGCCCTTGGCTTGCCTTAGCCACACACCTGTGGGAGATCACTTCCTGTATCAAGATTTCAATTGAACCATCCTTCAAATGAGGGTAGGCGGGGTATATAGGAGAATGACGAGTCTGCTGGATGTCGAGCTGCCTTGTAGTTTTAAGTTCCTGTATCCCCTCCCTCCCTCCCCGCTCCAGACTGCTCCCAGCTGCGCCTCCCCTGCCCATGAAGGTGCCCATCCGCAGCCTGGCTGTGACGAAGGAGTGCAGCCACGTGCTTGTGGGTCTGGAGGACGGCAAGCTTATCGTGGTGGGCGCCGGGCAGCCCTCCGAGGTGAGGCTAAAGGCAAGGTGGGCCACCAGTGGGGCGCGGAGTGCTGGTCCTGGCTGAGCCCACTCCGCTCTTCCTCCCCCCAGGTGCGCAGCAGCCAGTTCGCGCGGAAGCTGTGGCGGTCCTCGCGGCGCATCTCGCAGGTATCCTCTGGAGAGACTGAGTACAAACCCGAAGAGGCGCGCTGACACCCGGCCCCGCCCTTACGCATGCTCCGCCCGCGGGGCCCCGCCCAGAAGTCGGCGAAACAGTCGGCCGGCACCCGGGGGTGCGCGGAGCGCCACCCCCGGCCAGCTCAGGGATTCGTGGGCGGTGTCACTCCCGGAAGTCCCGCCCCTCGCCGGCAGAGGGGCAGCCCGGAGTCCCGGCACTGGCCCTAAGGGCCTCACAGCACTTTTTGCACAGTCTGGGGCGGGGAGCCCAGCCTCCCACGTCCCTCGTTCCGGCAGAGCCCAGGGACGGGGCTGTGGCCTTAATCCCTAAGGCGGCTCCCGCTCTCCCATTCTCGGCAATAAACCGGTCTAGTTTTGTAGCTGCCCCGCCTCTGAGTATGTGGTATGTGCGCGCGCGTCGTCTCAGTCTGCCTGGGTCATGAGCCCTCCAAGGGCGACTCGTCCCCTCCGCTTGACCTCGGCTTCCCCAGTCGTACCGCCCCGACCCTCGCGGCCCGGCCGGTCATCCTTCTCATCTCGTGCTCGCACGCAGTCCTCCACGAGATCACCCCTGTACGCACGCGCGCGCCGTCCGGGCCCCGCCGCAGGTGGGCGCGCGTGCGCGTTCCTTTGCTGGGCGGGGAGAGGCCGTGGCGGCCGCGCCCCTCCACTCCGCCCCCGCGCGCCCCTCTCACAGCGACCCGGGCCGCTGGAATTCCCGGGATCGCCCTACCCGTCCGCTCAGTCCTCTTCCCGCGCGACCTCTCTCGTCTCGGGAGGGCCAGAACCCGGGATTCCAAGCCGTCTTCCCAGCCGGCCCAAGGCTAGACCTGAGGCTCAGAGGCCCCCAGCCCGCCAGGGTGAGCGGATCTTGGGGCCTGTGGAGGGTCGGCCGCCGCAGGGCCGGAGTGGGTTGGGGACAAAGCCCCGGGTCTTCCTGGACGGAGGGATCCGAGAGCTGTCTCTCTGCACCCCACCTTGAGACCCGCGATCCTGCGGTGTTGTCCGTCGTGGTGCGCCGCCTGCGTTGGGATGCGTGTAGGACGCCGGGCTCGTGTGGGCGTGCGGGGTGTTGCACTGTGTGCGCGTGTTTTGTGGGCCCGGAGGCTGGTGTGTGGTGTGGGGCGGTAGAGGCCCCAGTCCCACAGCTTGGGGTGGGTCAGGCAGACACAAGGTCTGTCTGTCTCTGAGCAAGCTGGTGGTCACAGGCTCACCAACCTCCCCTCCAGGATCCCAGAAGGGCCCCTCCTGCGGTGACACAAACATATACACCCGACACGTGGCAAGGGCCACGGCAGGCAGCCTCTGTCCCAGACCTACTTGCCAACTGTGCACTTTACCATAAACATGGGCACGCGGCCTTCTGCCCGGAAGCGAGTTTGGAGCCCCCGGGGTAGACCTTGGCCAGATACGGAGTGGTGGACACTGGGGAGTTGGAGGGACTTTCCCCAGGTCTCTTCACTCCTTTTCCAGGCAAGATCCCTCCTCAGTCCAGACCTGGGCCCCTCCCTGCCAGGCCTCAGGAAGTGGGTCAGGATCAGCCCTATTAAGTCCAGATCGGTCCTGGGATTGAGTGGTCCTGTCCTTCAGGTTTCTGGCCTCTGAGCCCATATGCCCTCTGCCCTTGCTGACTCCAGGGTAGCCGGCAGCCTGGTCTCAGAGCAAGCAGTAGGTGAGGGCTGAACACTCATCATGGAAACAGGAGTGAGAACCTAGTCACTCTAGGGAGGCTTCGGTGTTGGGGTCCTGGGCTCATGCTGAAGTCTTGGGGAGTCTCCTACTGGCCAGCAAGTCTCTGGCTTGGCTCTGAGATGGGGGTGGGCATCTTCCTGGTCCGTCCATTCTATCCCTGGACCTAGGTTTGCCAACCAGCCCTTCTCCCTCCTCAGCTGCACCCTGGCTCCTCCAGCTCTGCCAGCTGGGACTAGCTCTATCACCCCCACTCCATCTGACACAAGAGGAACTGGTTCAGATTGACGAGTGGGGGTGGCAGGGGCACCCAGTCCTGGAGTGAATCACAACAGAATGAGCCAGGAAAGGGGGACAGACTACCCAAAGGGTATCCTGACATCAGGCCTGAGGTGTCCCCCCCCCCCACGTCCCCACATATAGCCCCTTTTGGACCTAGAGAAGGCTCCCAGCTCCCTTGCCTGGGCACTGCCCATGACACGCCAACCCCTTCTCCAAGAGATGCAGCCCCTGGGAGCGCTACCAGCCGGCAGAGAGATGCTCCACAACTCGAGCCATAGGGAAGGCCTGGTCCATGTGGGTAAGCACCTCTTGATCCAAATTTGGGGCACGGAGAAGGACGGAAGGTATCCCAGGTGGGTAGGTCACACACAAGCCCAGTCACAGACTCTGGAGTTCCTGTCCACTGTGCCCTGCCTGCCCTGGATTGTGGAACAACTGGCCTGCAGACAGAAGTAAGCAAGCAGCAGCAGCAGCATTTACCTGTCTTCCAGTTTAGTTCTATTTAATTGATTAATGTATTTTTAGCAAGAGGGGGAGGGAGGGAGAGAGGGAGAGAAACATCAACATGTAGGAGGTTATACCAGTTGCTCCACACACTTCCCCAACTGGAGGACCTGCCCCACAAGCCAGGAATAGAACCAGTAACCTTCTGGTTCGCAGACCGGCACTCAATCTACTGAGTCACACCAGCCAGGGCTTAATTGACTTTAGAGAGAGAGGGAAACATTGATTTGTTGTTTCACTTATTATGCATTCTTTAGTTGATTCTTGTATGTGCCCAGACTGGGGATCAAACCTGCAACCTTGGCGTTATCGGGACAGTGCTCTTACCAACTGAGCTACCCGGCCAGGACCCAGTTTAGCTTTATTGTGCAAAAATTTACAGTTTTCTGTGCACAGAGACCCCCTCAGAGGGACCAACATGAATCAATGAGCTCTTCCAGTCCAGACTTGGTTGGAAAGACAGGACACAGTTCAGTGCCATAGTAGATAGGAAGTGCAACAGGAGGCAGAAAAGGGAAAGACTGGAGAGATCAAGGAAGTTTCTCAGAATAGGAGATTCCTGCCACTTTGACAGATGGAGAAAGTAGAACAGCAAGTGCAGGCCTCTGGAAGTCTGGGAAAAGGGTACCTCAGGGAAGGGCTAGGTGTGCAAGAACGGTAAGCAAAGGGGAAGCTGTGGGAGATAAGCGTGGCAAACGGGCCAGTCAGCCCTTGATGCTGTGATACGAGCTTTTGACTACAGAGTAGGGACTATTGTTCCAGATCTTTTGGCAGCAAAGCCTCGGTGAGGCTGCCCAGGGACCCTAGTCTTGCTTCCTTGCCCCTGACCCTGTCTTTCCTTCTTTCTGCAGAAAAGACCTGGAAGGGGCAGGACAGGGACAGGGAAGGAGTGTGGGTAGGGGCAGGGGGAGCCCTGGCCCCCAATACCTCCTCCTCATTCCCCACCGAGCCTCCAGGGGCCTCGGGCAGCATCATCCCTGTCTACTGTGCCCTCCTGGCCACTGTGGTCCTTGGTCTGCTTGCCTACGTGGCCTTCAAGTGGTAGGTGGCTTGGGTACTGCCCTGTGGCACCCCCTTCCAGTCGGAACTCCCAGCCAGCTCCTTCTCTGTCTCAGTGAGGACTGGAGCAGGTTGGCAGGCCCCTCCTTCTCCCCACAGCTGGCGCTCACATAAACAAAGACAGGAGCTGGCCAAGGCTCGGACTGCAGAGCTGGGGGACCAGATGCACGGAGACAGCAGTGTCTTGCGGGACTCTTCTAGCGGTCGGGAGTCCTGTGTCCCCAGCCAGGGTGAGTGCCTTTCCCCAATCTGGTCCTTCAGACCTAGCCCTGCCCACCACCTGGCCCATCTGACCCTCATTTGCCCCTCATGTCTCCCACCCCAGGTGCACATCCTGAGCTTGGCTGCCGGCTCTACCTCCATCTCCCTCGGCAGCAGCAAGAGGAAGTGGAGCGGCTCCTGGGAGGGACAGGCGAACCTGACAAGGGCTGGCAGGGCCTGGCGGGCCACCTGGGCTACCAGGCTGAGGCTGTGGAGACCATGGCCCGGAGCCAGGTGCCTGCCTCCACGCTGCTGAGGGACTGGGCTGTCCAAGAAGGTGCTACCCTCAGGGTGCTAGGGGATGCCCTGGCTGCCATGGGCCGTGAGGACGTGGTCCGGGTCCTGGGCCTCCCGCCTGAGGGCTGCTCGGTCGTGTGAGGGAAGCCGCCGCAGCCTGGCTTCTCAGGGTATCTGCTCTGGTGCTACCTACCATGCCCATCTCATAAGCCTTTCCTTTCATGGGCTTCCTCGCAGCGGTGGTGGGCTCAGCCTGCTCTGTTCTGGTGGGACTCCCAGGGTCCAGCCACTACACACCTCCCCTGCCCTGCCCTCCTCAGAGACAGAGAGCAGGATTTGGGGGGCGTTGGCAGTAGGCAATGGTCTAACCCCACTCCACCTCCCCTTCCTTAGCCTGTTAACGGTTGTTTCTACTTGTGTATTCCATATTAAAGGCAACTTTGGATTACTGTGCCGGTTCTCTCTGGCTCCTTGGGCTTGTGAGAAAGTGGGTGGCTGTGGGGCAGAGGCCCAGAAAAAGGACAGGGTCCCTAAGCTGTGGGCAGAGCCCCTGGGCTGGCAGTGTGTTCCCATAGAAGACGCATGAGCTCGGGCAGCAGAGTGCACTTCACACCCTGCACCTGCCATTCGCTCCTTCACCCTTCGAACCTCAGCTTCCTTCGCTGGAAAACAAAAGAATGGCATGTTCAGTAGGTTCCCCTCACTTAAGACTCCCGGGGTAAAACAATTTTCCCAACTTGTGACAAGCACCAAGGGGAGGCTGGAGGAGCATCTTGTGACAAGCATCTAGGCAGGAGGCAAGAGGCAGACCGGTCCTGGGAGGCTAGTCATCAAGGACCTCTGGTCACCTCTACATGGGGAAAGAAAGGGCCATCCTTCCAAGGCTATACTGCAGGCTTAGGAGAGGGCAGGCCAAACCTGCTTCCGCTGCTGCTTAAGATTTCTGCTCTACACAAGCTGAGGACAGGCAGGTCATCCCACCCACCCAAGGGGCAACCGAGGACAGGGCAGCTGCAGCCAAACCACCTGCACCCCACACATGTGCCCACCATGACGGGAGAGGCAGGCAGGTTGGTTAATGTGCCTTAGGAGAGGACTGCTACGGCAGACAGGCCCGGCCTCGGAAGGCACAGCAGCTGCTCTCCTGGCCTGCACCTCCCAAAGCACAGCTCACTCAGGAGATGTGGGATCCAGTCATGGTCCAGGGGACACACGGTAGATCCTGTCCCCTGGCTGACCAAGATGTGATGGACTTGGCTGCTCTGTGATCATCAAACTCATCAGGCTTCTGCTGCTGCTATTCCTCAGGAGTTTACTGGGCCTGCTTAAACCTACCCATCTTTTCCAGAGATGACCCTTGGGCAATGATAACCCAGGAAAGAAAGCAGGAATGACTCGCAGTCCCTTAGCTAGAATCAGACCAGCTCCGGAGAAGTCACACCTATTTCAGCAGGGGGCTGGCCACAGCGTGATCGAAGACTGGCTTGGTGGTAAATGTGAAATCCTGCATTGAGTGGCACAAATAGGTTCTCAGTTCACTGGCAGCCCTTGTCACCACGGAGGGGCTGACTGGAGCCTGAAGGTGTCAAGGGGTGTGTGGAAAGTGCAAAGATTTTGGGGAAAAAACAACAGGGAAGAAAATAATAGAATTCCTTTTCAAAAGCATCCTACCTGAAACACGACAGCTCTCTGGTCACCACCCTTTAATAGAGGGCTGCCCAGATTCCCTGGGAAAGTCTGAAACTGAGCCTTGCGTTAAAACCGTGAGTTGGACGTGGTTTTAAGCAGCTGCAGAGCACCCGGCCACACCCTTGCGTGCAAACCTACCCCAAAGAGAAATGCTTCCTAATGTGCTCGAGCAAGCATGTCTAATGATTATGACTATATAATAGGCTTTTTTCACTTTTCCATCTGGCTGCAGCCATCAGGGATCTTAAAAGGCTCGGTTAAGTAACTTTCAGAAAACACAATGTAGCAGACACTCCTTTCCACTCAAAAAAAAAACTTTTTAAAAGTTTTTTTATATTTACTTTTTAGAGAGAGGAGAAAGGGACTGAGGAAGAGCAGGAGAGAACCATCAATGTGCAAGAGATACATCATCGGTTGCCTATCAGTTGCCTCTCACATGCCCCCGAGTTGGGGAACCCTGGCCTGCAACCCAGGCACGTGCCCGGACTGGGAATCGAACTGGCGACCTTTAGGTTGGCCAGCACTCAATCCACTCTGCCCAAACCAGCCTAGGTCTGAAAAATCTTAAACCACTTATTGTGTGTAGATGTTCAACTAAATAAATAAATGTCTGTTTAAAATTAAAATAACATAAAATAGCGTCCATTCCCGCACTTCAGGATTGTGAGGCTCCAGTGAGCACAACCTGAACTCCAAGTGCACAGTGTAGCACCCAGTAGGCAGTGAGTGCTTTAAACTGCTGTCCACCCCACCCAAGACTTAGTGGGCCACTGCCTCTTCCCCAGGTGCACTGCTTTCGTGAGCGAGATAACCCCAGTGAGGAAGAGGTGGAACCAATCTCTGCAAAGACAGACCCCCAGGTTGGCCTGAAGCCTGTGGCTCTCCTCACTGCCCAGACAAGGGGCATGTGTGTGTCATGTCTCCACTGGGCCCTGAATCCTCCAGGAGGTGTCCACTCTCATCACAACCTGTGCACCATACCCCTTAATAGGGTTCCTCCTCTGTTCTACGTCTAGTGTCCAAGCCCGGGGTTGGGCAGTGTGGTGAAGGTCAGGGAACCACATCATCAAATGAGCATCCCAGGGGGCTCAGAGACCTCAAGTCTCTGAAGAGAAGAATGGCAATGCCTCTCCCCAGCCAGGAAGTGTAGAAGGGAAGAAGGCACATGCCTTTCTCTTGACTGACCTATTACCCAGAGAAGCCCAGCGGCACTGGAGCCTCAGGTCCACCTCCTTTGCTCTGGAGTGTACATGTAAATTGACTCCACCCCTGAATGGCTACCAGATCCCAAGCTCACAAGTGTCAGTCACCTGGCAAATGGCTCTCAGTCCTGGTGGGACCTGTGGGGAACAAGGCCTGTGAACAGACCCCAATTTCAAGGACAAATTTTAGACTTCACACACCTATATCCATCCTCTCTCCTTTCTCTTGTGTATAATGATGTTATACACAAACATGCTTAACTAGCTCTTAGGGAACACACATGCCAAGTTCTTTAATTAATTTTATTTTTTACATAAAAAGTTCAGTAAAAATTGGATAAAGTAAAGTGATTTTAAGCAGTAAATCAATCTTATCAACATAGCACAAGGCTGGCCGAAACCACAAGGCAGCCTGCTTTGGAATATTTACATGATAACAAATTAAACCTTGCAGGAGAACTTAAACTATCCTTACAAAGTCTTCCTGTGATCCTAGCACATAAAGGCTAAAAGCAAAACAAAAAACAAAAACTGGGAAAAAACCAAATTATTTTCAATATATTCACATATACATTAAAATATAATACAGATCGTCAGGGTAAGAGGTTGTGGGAGGGGATGCGCATGGGTCTGTGCGCCGACAGCACCGCCAAGGAGGAGACCCAGGTTTGGGGGGGGGGGTCAGGCCTGGCCAGGGGCTTGCAGGAAGGTCTTCCCTAGGCCCTCACCTCTGATGGCTTCAAACCCTGACCCCAAAAGCTCATGCCCAGGGATTGCTCGTTGTAGACTGAGCTCATTTTTTGGGCTTTCAGTTTAAATCTGCAGGTTTGATTCCCCAGGGTGATGTGCCATCAGCAGCACAGCTCTGACGGAAGGCTGGGGCAGGGAGGACCCACAAGATTTTTTCTGCCCAGAGTCTGTCCTACTTGCTCACCTGTCCTCCCACCCTGGCCCCATAGGTCACTCCAATTCAGTGTCCTCTTTGGGTTTGTAAACAGCCCCAAACTTCTGCATGTACTTCTTAATGTACTCCTTGGTTTTGTGTTTCACATTCTCATTGCACTCCAGGTCCTCAGGGTTCTTACAGTACTTCAGCTCCTTATTCATAACGCCGTGAGTCAGCTGTCCAGGACACAGGAAGAGAGACCAGAGCCACCAATCAGAGTGGAAATGATTTGAGGGGGAAAGGCCAGCCTGTTGCCTCAGGGCCCTCTAACCAAGACTGGGAGTTGAATAAACAGAATGGGGCAGGCTGGTGCAGGGATCGCCAGAAAGGGAAGCTCAGTTCTGGAAGTTTCTTAGAGAATCACTACACCCAAGTAGGGTGCCCTCCCTTCTCTGGCCTGGGCATCTGGCAAGAAAAACCCGCTTTCTCTGATGAAAGAGGCCTTTGTAGAAGGTCCCTGGTTTGCCTAGAAGACCACAGCTGGGGAGAATACCTTGCGAGCTAGGTGTTTGAAGTCTTCCGTAGTGGTAATTCTTCCCACTTTGCAGTCCGGTTTTCGGTAAGGGTTCAGACACTGCACAATGAACTGGGACATCTGCCGGCAGGGAGAGAACACACTGCTCAATACTCCAGTGAGAACAAGAAGCTGTACTGAGGGAATAACTGGAAAAGACAGCCAGGAGAGCCAGCCAATCCTTGCCAACTCAGGTTGGCTAGTTGGGACAGAAGAATGCTAGTATGCCAGTGGGACGTGAGACAAAAGGATCCTGGGTCAGCCCCAAGAGGGAGGGCTCCCTAGAATGGATGGAGCAAGCCTGACTTAGATGGAGGGACCCAGCAGCAGAGACTGGAGAAAGCAGCTCCTCTTTGTGCTACTGGAATGGCAGGCCCAGGTTTCGACCAAAACTTGTCACATCCTTGGCATAGATAATGTAGCTAAGTTCTCTGGCTCCCTGAGGCAATGGAAAGAGAGCACGCTCCAGTACTTCTAGGAGGCTCAGCAACCCCAGGAAATGCAGGTTACTTAGATTCTCTAAATGTTACATTTCTTTTGATTCACACTATAGGAGTGTGAAGCAGATAAAAGCATGCTATGACAGCTGGCGCGAAAAAACCAAGGGTAGGACCCTTTCCAGCATACAACTTCCAATGTCCTCCTGAGCTGTCTCTGTAGTGTCTGTCCAACCCCGTGGCTCTCAAGAGACACAGGCACAGGACCTCTGGCAGTATTTATGGCACTAAGATCAGTGCCATAAATGAGAGTGAGTGAGGTCAGTGACAGCAACTTCACCAGCGAGCACCCTGAGCAAGGCCTACCCGTCCCTAAAACTCAGGAAGCCTTCAGACATTCAAAGAACAAGGATATAGC